CCCCCCCTTTTAAACCTCCCCACCGTGTCCCTGGGGATAATTTATTTCTCAGAAAGTGCTCTGGGCTTTTCCCCAAAGCAGTGAGGAAGGATTTCTAGACTTCAGAGATTGGATTGATTGTGCATGTATAAAAGCAAAGGGAAACCATGAAGCTTCTAACAAGTGTTAGCTTTGAAAAGTATTAGTAGGTTTTTCCTTGCCCCCCCCCGCCCCATAATCTCTAGCAAACTCCTCTTTCTTTGGTGCAGTTGGCATCCTGTGTCACTGTCTTGCCTGGTGCAGTTGGCATCCTGTGTCACACGTCTAAATGGCAGTTGCTGCTATTTAGAACGTAAGGGGCCGATCATAACAGCTCTGGGTTGTAGTGGTACCATCTGCTCAGGGAGATGGATGGGGCTGGTCCTCCTCTCTCAGGAAGGGTGTGCATGCGTAGTTCTAGCAGTATAGCTTATTTCTGTAAACGTGGGGAGAAATGCGCTTATCCTGAAGTCAGCACTTTTTGAGCAGCAGAACTGTGTGTTCTGGAGTCGGCTGCACGATGATAATTAAATCTTTTCATTGACCAGAGGGCCAAGCTTGCTGTGGCTATAACTGGGTAGGATTGTGGATTCCAGCCAGATATAGCTCCTGTTACCCTTTGCTGGGAGCTGAGTGCCTTAAATGCCTTCTGTGCCTTTGGAAGGTCTTCTGTGTGTCTTTAATGTGCTAAATAAAATTTTAACTCCATGCTCTAACATCTGAGGCATCTGTTCATCCCCATTTTCTGGCTCTCTCATAGGATCCTATTATGTCAGGTCTTAGTTCTGAATTGCCTTGAGAGGGGAGGGAGAGGCTTAGAAAGCTGGGCAGAGGGGGGATTGGTGATGGGCTGTGTCACTAAACTGCTACTTCCCATCTAACCCTTGATCTGCAGTGACAGTCATTAGCGGCCACTCAGCACCTTCATAGAAACAAGTCAGAGGCACCTGGTCCATTTAGCTCTGTTGCTGTTTGTAGTGCCCTTGGTGGTCAGATAGTCCTTTAAGATCAAAGAAGGACAGCACACCAGGTATGGTGGGAGACTGGGCTTGAGTCCCTGCTCAGCCACAGGCACCCTATGAGACCTTGGTCAAGTCTCTTAGCCTCTCTCTGCCTCACTTCACCACCTCCAAAGGAAGCTGTGAGCCTAAATCCTGTAAAGATTATGGGGGCTCAAACACGGTGGCAGGCAAGGTGATATACATCTTTTGGATCTCTTAGAAATCATCCTTCTTGCTCAGGATGGGGACGCATGGGAGAGGCTAACAGTACATGGGATGAGGCCTCTAGGTTCCTAGACTTTCAAGGGCACTTTAATGGGAGCCAGTTCTCACCTCTCACGGTATATTTGTTATACTGAGGAAGGCATGTCTGCAGCTGGCTCTCTGTAGCGCGGTCTTCCTCGGAGCTGCGAATCCCTGCTGCCATCAATATTTGATTACTCTCTCAAATAAAGGAGTGTGGGAGTCCTAGCATCAGGGAGCTAGTAAGATCCAGGTTAGCCTCTATCAGCAGAGCAGAACCTCCAAATGACTTAAATCTACACTAGAAACTGCCTGTTAACGTACTGCATAACTGCTGTGTCTTTCAGGCTCAGGCTGTTACCCTAACAGTAGCTCAAGCATTCAAAGTAGCATTTGAATTGTGGCAAGCATCCAAGGAAGGTGAGTGCCTATCTCTGCGCCTTGCAATATCGAGATACATACATACATACATACATTATATATATATATATAAAAGGAAATAATTTTGGGCTTATGCTTCCAAGCAATCTTTAAACTGGGCCCCCCCAAAATAGGGGGCAAAGAGTAGATTTCCAGCTGCCCTGCTCAGAGAACCACCGCTTTGTCCTGGCTCTGACTGCAGGGGCTAGATTTAGCTGCCAACTGTCCAGCCACTGCCTGCCTGAGCCCAGCTAGGGTGACTGTGTCTCCAACAGTTGTTTCTGCCATCCATGAGCACATAAAATATGCACAGTGCCTAACAAGCAGCAGTGTAACAGGGTAGTCTGTTCAGGTTTTTGGCCCAAATGTAAGCTTGACACGTGCCCCTTTCTCACGCTCGGATGCCAGCCAGATTTGTGTTCTGTTCAGGGGCTGCCTGTCTTGTCCAGAGGAGCCGAGTGCTGTGGTTCCCATGCCTGAGCAGCCTCTGGAAATAGCGGGTCGTAAAGGGCAGGTTCTGTGCTAGGTATCCAGGTTGTAGCCATATTGGTCTCAAGGAAAAAGCAATCAGGGCTCGTGCTGTGCTTCTCAGAAGGTATAACCTGAGGGGGGAAAAGGCATCAGGAATAATGCTGGCTTTGTGCCATCTGGATACCTGCCACCTAGCTGCTGTAGAGCCTGCCATGTCCCTTGAAGCATTAGAGCATCATTACATTGCTCTCCTCATCACATGCCATACTTCAGGCCTGTAAGGGGAGGGCTGATTTTTGTCCACTGGATACAGCTCCTCCAGCTGGGGATGCCTCTTCCCCCTTTCAGATGCAGATCTGTCTGCTTGAAACGTGCATACAGCCCTGTGTGCTGCCATATGAGGCCGAAGTGGGAAGAGAAGAATTGGTTTGAAACGTCCCAGGTAGCACCAGGTTTTCTGGAGACTGGGGAAGGATTTCCAGGTACCAAAATGATATGTCCTGAAGACATGACTCGGGGCGGGGGGCTGCTATCTCGTGTGTTTCCATGAGTGAAAGGTTACGTCTGCACCATGGCAGCAAGACTGCTTGGTCCCTCTGCGGGATTAAGCCCTGCTCGCCCTGTTGTGAACTCTGGAAATAAAGCAGTAAGGATGCCCTGGGGGCAGCCTGAGCCTCTGCTCTTGGGCTCCCTTCAAGGCACCCTCCTTTCGAGGCCACCTCAACTTGAGTCATTGCAGAGGGAGTCAGAGAAGGTGTGTGAGTTCTCAGCACAGACATGCCTGCTTTTGGTGCCTGCAGTCAATGAGGGAGTTTCCTTGTGTTGCAGAGAAAGAGAAGCGGGAAAAGTCCATCTTGGACGGAGAAGGCACAAGCAGCCCAAACGCGGAAGGTCCCGCCGGCCCTAAAGGATGTAAGTGACCCACAAAAAAGCTGTCACATTGGCTTCCAGGAGACCTGAATCCCAATGAAGAGTGGCTTGGAGACTGGCTCCCTTCCTCTGGGTTGGGGCATATGGAGGCTAATACAGAGCAAACAGTGCGGTAATTGTGTGGATTCTTGTTCCAAGCCTGGGAGGAGATGGCAGCTTGCCCGGGCTCCTACCTCACTAGTAGCTGCCGACTGCAGCCCCTGCTCTGCAGAGCCAGCTTCATGTTGGCACCAGAGAAGGTTTGGGGAGAGGGGGTGCTCTTGACTTCTCCGTGGGTCTTATCCTGATGCTCTGGGAGCTTGTAGACAGGCATTCAGGTAGCTCCAGATGGCGATACGTTCCTGCTCTTCTCATCCCAAGGAGCTGCCCAGGGCACCTGAAGGGAATGGCCTGCGACTGTCCTGTAACTTCGGGGCAGGATTCCCTTAGGAAAGTGAATGGCTGTGGAGCGTATGATCTCCAAAGGGGACTGTGTGGTCCTTGACTCCTGTGCTCCAGATTTCCTGTGACGGGAGGAAAACTGTTTGCTTGTCCTTCCTCCCCTTCTGTCCCTCGGATGCTGCTTTCTCAAGCTGTCTTATCTAACCTGCTGCCCTTGCTTTTCATGAAGATTAATCGAGTCAGGTCTTCCCGGCCACTCTACATATGCGCCCTGGGATCTGATTCAGGGTCTGATGAGAGGAGGAACGCTCCTCCTCTCGCAGAGCTGCTGTTCAAGATGTGCTTTCAGAGGCAGCCTGACCTCTGCCTTGACTGTTTCACCTTCCTGGGAAGCCTTCCCAAGTCTCTGCCTGCCCTTCTTTAGAGCAAGTAATAATGCCTTCTACTATCAGAAAACTTCAGGGCTTCTGGAGAGTCCCGTTAAACTTCACCTGCTTCATTTTACAGCCAGGCTCCTCTGTAGAGCCTGCTAAAAAGTGCAAGGCTTCAGGGGCTCCTGAAGACCGGCTGTTCTTTTCAGTGGCCGGCCCAGGCGCCCCCTCTGCAAGGCATACCACAAAGCAGTCCTGGAGCTGAAGGGAAATGGGACAAGGGCTAATCTCTCTCCTCCACGCTGACCAGTGAGATAAGGGGATTTGGCACAAAGGAACACAGCATTAAACTGGGCTCCTTTCCAGACTGGCATGTCTCATTTATCCATGGGAGGATCCAGTACTTGAAGGAGCTCGTTGTAGCTGACGGCAGGCTCGGATAAGCACTCTGCAGAGGCAAGAGGATACCACGGCTATAGGAAACTCGTTGTGTAATCTCAGCTTAGCCCCTGAGCGAGGCTTTGCAGTCAGGGCTTCAAGTTCAGCAAAACTCTGCTCGTCACAGGACGGTGCACGGTAACCTACAGCTTTACCCGGTCCTGGTTTAGATCGTGGACTCTCCGTGTGCTTCTGGCAGCCCCACATGGCTTCGCACAACCATGCGCCATCAGAGCAGAGTCCCTCCTCCTCCTCCAGGGGAGTGTGCAGGAGTGTCTGTCGATACATGGCTTCTGCTGGTGGCCAGACAGCAGCAGATGCTTTCACCACTTGGCAGAGGGGATTCAACTCGGCTGGTAGGCAGGAGGGTCCTGCCCTCTCTGCGGAGCAGCGGTAATGTTCTGCAGGTCAAACTCCTAGGCACAGCAGTGGAGAGAAGTCTTTGGAGTATAAACTGTGGGGGCTTGGGTTGCTCCTTCTCTGGCATCATGGGACCCCACCTTGGGGCATGGTCACCTAAACAGGTATTAGCATGTATCTATGCTACCACCATTAACTGCCCCTTGCACTGTCCCGACTGTAAGTCTGACTATAAGTCAGCCCTTCTCAAGCTAGCTGTTCTTTTCTCTGCTGTGTCCACAGCGGTTGCCACAGGGAACTTGTTGGATTTAGAAGACACTGGCAAATCTCCCCTGACTGTCAACACAAACTCTGCACGCTTTGAGAACAGCCTGTTTGGACCAAGCCCCTCTGTCAACAACAATGTTGTCTGGGTGAGTGTACTGGGCCCTGGCTGCCCTGCTGCAAAGGCTAGAGAACATTTTAAACTACCTGAGGGTGAAGCTTTGCTTTCTGATGCACACTGCATCCTGTGTGGGGTGTGGGGAATCTTCATGCCAGGGGTGTCCCTTAAACAAAGTCCTGGGGCAGCACTGTGTGTACAACTTCCACCCCATGTAAGCTGTTCATGTGGGAATTATTAAAAGGCATCCAAGTGAATTAGACTTCTCCATCCCGGTAGAAGCAGCTCAGATTTGGGTACATGCTGCCTTGTTTTAGGCTCTTGCAAGTTAACAGGAAAGATTGGAAACTAGTTTCACAAACCCAAATGCTTAGATATTTACTTGATCGAGTAAAGATTAAGCATCCAACTTTCAAGGAGCTCTGTAAGGGTTTACACTCTGAAAAATTAGACACTCACATAAGGTATCATATTTACAGAGCTGCTGTACATATTAACATGGATACACCAGTACTTCAGCCATGAAGTCTGTTGTTTGTGATGATCTGCAAAGCCTGGGACCCAACAGCTTAACACCGCCTCATTAACGCCCATTGCGGTAGCTGAGATGTACAGTACTTGGTTCTGGAGCAATGATGGGGCACTTCCATGCATGGAGTCCCCAGGCTGGAGCTTGTTTGCAGAGGTTGCCTGTCTGAGCTCAAGTTTGGCAACTTCGGGGGCAAAAATGAGAGATGGCTGTTCTGAACAGCATTAATAGCTTAGCAAGACTTGGGAGCCTTTGAGCTGCACCCGCTTCCCACTTGCAGAACCTCCACTTTTTTATACTAGCTTCAACCTCATAAATGCATCCACAACTTGAAAAACTCCTGTAGATTAAGCATCCAACTTTCAAGGAACAAAATCCAGGACTTGGTCCAGAATGGCCCCACGGACCTCCAGAGCCAGCTGTTGCCTACTATAACTGCTGTACTGCTGCAGCGAGGGCAGTGCCGTTCTCTCTTCTGAGAGACTGAGCTAATTTGTCCCAGCACATCACCCTGCGAATGCAGTGCCAGGCAACACCTTGCTGCAGACCCAGTTGGATGCTGCCTGGTGCTCTGGTAGTGTTCAAGGAGGATGTCTGCTAACCAAAACTCAGGCCCTAAAATTTTAGGGCTATCCCAGAAAATGCGGGATGGTTGGTCACTTTACCTGTTGAGTAATCATGTTGTCCATTGCAACGATATCCTAAACCAGTCTTCTAGTATAAAGTCGAAGTACATTGCAGTGCTATCCTAGTCCGCCAGTAGAAAGAACCTTCTCTTCAGTAGCATTCAAATGCTTTCCATGGGAAGCCTCCAATGAAAAGATCTTCAGGAAGCATTGTGTCCAGTCACCCCCCCGCGCAGCTCTGTGCAGACAGCCTTCTCTTCAAACGTCCTGCCTCAGCACATGCTTAAAGCATTGTGCTGAGTCCAAAGCCTTTTCTCTTGACAAAGCGAATGTATTTTTTGCCATTTGCACAGAGGAATCTTGAAATGCTGAGTCGAGTCAGTGGACTCGCTCAGTCCTCCGGAGCCGCCTGCTTCCCAGTCTTGGCTCGGTCTGAAATGTGTCTGTTCATAAAGAGCAAGCAGATGTTTTCAGTCAGAACAAGTTTTGTTCTCTCAGTCTCAGATGTAAAAAGCAGGGTCTGGTGGAGAGCTCATTGAATCCATCTCTTGGAGCCAAGCTGCACCTCAGCATGGATCGCTGAAGCAGCTTCTGAGGGGCCAAATCTGCTCTGGGGCCAAGGGACAGAATGAAAACCAAGCCAATGTTGGGGTTTCAAGTGGGTACTTAGTCCACGTGATGTCCCTCTGCCCAAGGGCGGATGCTGCCTGGCAGCAGTGCCAAAAAGTTTACAAGCGCACTACATTGGCATCACAAGGCAGCAGTTGTGTTATATGTGTTGGACAAGGCAACAGCAGCAGCATCTGATAGCAGTGTACTTGTTATGTCTGTCTGTGCCCTGAGTCTTCCCTTGGTTCCAGTGGGGTTTGATCTGACCCTAAGTTAGCTACAGGGATTGAGAAAGGATAGCTGTGAGGAAGGGTGAGAGGAAAGAGGTGATGGGAACGAATGCATTTGGCAATACTGAAACACTCCTTTGTAATCAGTGCTGTCCTTGCTCATTGCAAAAGCTTCAGTGATGTCTCTAAAGCCCTTTATCTGGGGAAACTGGAAGTGCTGATACCAAGTGTTGCTTTAGGCATTTGGAAATCAATGCTTCTTGTCTTACTTATGCCAACACGTTGAGCCAGATCTTTAAATACAATTGTGCATTAGCTTAACAACCATCTTTCTCTTGTCTTTTTAACAAAGGAAATGGACGACGGTCTCGACGAGGCATTTTCCAGGTAATTCTGATAACTGTCTTGGCAACTTTGTATCATGAGGGATGACCCAAGAGACTCCACAAGTAACTGGTTTTTAATAACGTTTCTAATCCAATCAGCTGCTGTGGTCTGACCTGGGAAGCAGCCCCATCAGCGCTCCAGCGGCTAATTGAAAGATAGGCTTTGAGGCTGGCTGATACGTCAAATATTTTGACAACCTTTTAAAGGATGGAGATAGATGTGTGCAGTGGGGAACTTTAATTCCCCAAATGTCGCATGGCGAGCATGTCTCCTTGTGTTTGAATGGAGAGTCTACCATGTGGCGTTTAATATGCTGGCTTTGCTGCTAGTTTCCAGTCCTTGTGCTGTTAAGAGAGATGTTGGTCTGACCTCCCTGTACTCGGATTTAACTTGCCCCATATTAGGGTGTCGTGAAAAGAGTATTAGTGCACCAAGTGCCCAGGCCAAAGGCCCGACTCTGGGGCTGCGCCTGTACAGCTGCCAGCCTTGGTGTGCTCAAGTGCCCCATGCTTTTCTGGGTGATTACGTCCTATACCAGAAGCTGTGCAGCCACCTCCCTGCAGCACATGGGAAGTGCTATTAGCATTGCTGATGACAGCACCAATTAGCCAGTTGGTGCAGATGTGACTACCTGCTTCCAGCCTAGGAGGCATAAGAACAGCCCTAGTGGGATGAGCCAAAGGTCCCTGTAGCCCAGTAGCTCGTCTCTGACCATAGCAAGAAGCAGATGACTTTCAGGAAGAGTAGAGGCAACCTGGTACTTCAGAGCACTGCTACTGGGAACGGTAAGTTTTATCACACAGATGTGGCCTGAGACAAGCCTGTTTCTTCACACCAGTGTGCTCTGCCCGACCTTCGAGTGGGTTGGTGAAACTGCATTAAGCTCCCATGTGGCCACTCTTGTTCAGAATTACAGGGGCCGTAATTCAATTTTAGCTTACCTTGGAAGTAAAAGCCACTGTAATTATGATTAAGAGTGTTTATTCAGGGATTTAAAGAAGTGGAAAGTTGCCTGTATGTGTCCTTATAGACAAGCTCTTGGAAAACTTGATCTGGTGCTTTAAGTATAATTGTGCAAATCTGCCTTCTAGATGCATTTCAACCATTCTTACAGCGATAAAGGTTACTTCTGTTTAGAGCAGTGCAGAAAAGGCATGCTGTAGCCTTAATGAAGCTGAGTCTTTGACCTTATCTCCCATCTCGGGCATTGGGTTTCCAGCTGTCTTGGAAATGGAAGTTCTATATCAAAATAACATGCATTAAAGGAGCAGTTGTCACATCTGGCTGCAATCCAGTTTCCTAACAGGGTGTGTTTTTTTGCTTGGATGCAAATTGTCAGCTTTGCTAGCATGCTCCCCATGTCCTGGGTTTGGACTGTAAGTGCTATGAGAAGGATATCTACTTAGCTCCCACTGGAGTGGAATGAATCACAAGAATCCTTAAGCATTTACACCGCATTTTCTCTTAAGCCCTTTTTTTGTCACGTAAAAAAGAAAAAGGTGTTTTTTGGAGGTCAAATCGGAGTTGACAGTTCATGGACTGTTAAACACCTTAATTAAACAGGCCCCACGGATCTGAGCCTACTTTTTAGCATGGTGGGTTTGTACACTGAAGTTTCCTGCTCTTCGGATCCCAGATCTAGTATTGTAAGTCCACACACTGTGGAGGAGTTCACTTCCATAAGCACCTAGACTGTCCCAAAAACAAAGACCACTTTAAAGAGGGCTTACAAGACCTCAGAGATTATCACTGCACTGCTGCATCTGAGCACTGCTGAAAAATACTGTGGGTTGTTTTTTTTTCTGAAGAGCTAAAATTGAAGTTAGTCCCCAGGAAAGAGAGAGCATCGTGGGGAACCGTTGGAATGAATGGAGAACAGCGCATTACCGCAGCGGCAGCTTGTTCAGCTACTCCTGCCGTGGTGAAAATTGAGTCATTTCAATGAGGCTGGCTGCTTTGGTTAGTGCATCCTTTTACCTGTGAGAGAAGATCGCGGCTAATGATGCCCTAGTCAGTGATAGTTTGGAGAGAAAAAAGGCAGCCTTTTACCAGACCTATAATGTAAAGGAAGTCCAGAGTGCAAATTTACAGAATGCGTTCAGGGCATGAACCTTCTGACAAACCAGCAGAGAAGCTGCTGAAAACTTCAGAGGGCTCCCAATATTAGGGTTTTTTCCCCCATATTTAGAAGTACTTCTTTTCAAGGTAGAAGGAAAATCTTTGAAGTGTGAAGCTGCAGATAATGTTGTAGCATTAGAGATGCAGCAAGCATACAAGCTCTAAGCTGACACTTTCTGGTTGAGGATGATTAGTTGTCTTTTTTTTCCCCCCCCTTGCTTCCCGTAGACTTGCTCAGTCTAGAACTAACCCGCATGTCCTGGACACTGGCCTGACTCCTCAGGATATCCAGAGTGCAGAAACCCTTTCGCCTGTGGACTGGAACAAAATAGATTTGAATGCGGCAGACAAAGACGACCTCTTTGGATTCTGAGGACATCCTCCAGCTAACAGCTTGCAGTAGAATCACCACTAAAAATCCCTGGACTGAGCGCACATCTCTTGATGCCCTTGAGGGGCTGCTTGTAGTGGATGTTCACCATGATACTAATGCTGTTATGGCACCAACAACTGTTTAGACCAAAGCCGTAGACACCTAGTGCATTTTTTTTACCTTGCTTTTTTTTCTAAACCACGAAAAGCTCTTGAATATATTTATTCAATAACCTTGCAATTTATGTGCATTATGGGAATTTCAGAGAGCATCTGCCTAGGTCACATGCACAGTATTAGATTGTAATATGCCAGGGGAAGAGCCTTCAGCAGTGCCTGCTCTCTTCTGAAAAGGACAACGTGACACCAAAGCCTCTGCATACGTGTGCGTGTGTACATTTTCGAGACAAACCTCTGCGTATGTATGCACAGTTGTAAGCACAATTGTAACTAATCTATTGCTTCCTAAACAGCTCTACTTCTGCAGCTGTCTCCTGCACTTCACCTTCTTAATATACTGGGAGGAAGAGAAACACAGCAGCTGCTGGCAGTATTAAAATCAAAGAGGAAACAGGTTTTGCTTTCTGTGCAACTGTCCATGGTAAAGCCCCATAGTTGCCAGCCATCAGTGAGCTGTTTGGCTCTCCTTTTGCCAGCTTCAGACTGCAGTTGCCTTGCTCGCTCAAAGACCTGGAGCTTTGGATTTTTGAAGCTGGAGCTGGAAGCATGATCCAAAACAGGCTGGGTGTCTGTCACTGCTCTTCTTCCCGTAAGTTGGTGATCCAAAAAACTCAGCCATGCTGCAGGTTTGTCACAAAACTGACCTCTTGCACTTATAACGTTCACTGTGACTCTCAGTACAAGGATTTGATCACACTGATGACCTTAATAGCCAAAAAGCTCCCTAAAAGCAACTTGGCTTCTGTTAAACCAGCAGGTTGGACGAATCCAATAGCTTAACAAGTCTAGCGCTTAAATGCTTCTGGCTGCCTTCATCTGGTCTCGATACCAGTATCTCTAGTCGAGCCTCTCAGGAAGTAGACTGCTGAATTGGATTAGCCAAAACCAGTATTTACCTGGAAGTCCTATACGTGAAAAACAACAAAAAACTGAAATGCTATTTTAATACTTCTTCCTTCAACACTTGCTTCTCCTATGAAGCTGAAGGATCTTTGTTTTCATACACTTCTGAACTGGAAAATAAGTTATGGAGGTATAAAGATTATGCTAATTAAAAGATTAAGCTTAATGATCCTAAATGGTTACCCGGCCACAGTTTGTGGCGTTTGTGGCCTTGTGTGAAATATACTAATCTGTTTTATAGATTTGTAACTTGTTTCTGAAACACTAATTCATTCCCCAGGCAGCCTCTTCTAACAGTCTCTCCTTAAAATTACGTACAAAGTAAAAAGCATCTCTGTCAGTGCAGAGAATTTATTAGGAAACAGTTGAATGATTCTGAGTTGGTCAATGCATTTCTAAAGGTTATTGTGATAAGGTACGAGGGAGTTCTGCAGCTGACTCATCATGCCTGCTGTAAAGTCTGTGCATCCTGCAAAAGTGTGTTAAGGCACCTTTATATCTTCAAGCTGCTCTGCCCATGAGTTGTTGGGTCTCTGTCATTAGTCTCTTGCAAGTGGATGAATTAGTCAACACAGCTGCCTTAGGTTTTGTATATCTAGTCTATTCCTGTTGTAAAAGCAGCACCCAAGCTATGCAAAAGTAACTGTAGCAAACACCCTTTTCTGACTCCTTGGGGAGTTGTGATCTTTCTAAGAGAATTTTGTTGCAGCAATGGACCAGGAGGATTCATCTGTACAGGAATCTCTCCTCTTTTTCTAGAGATCCTAAGAGTGTATACTTACATGCACAATGGTATGTCTGTATGTACATAGTTTAAAAAGCCTATGCTGTAAAAATTATCTACGAGAAAATAAAAGTTTTACCTTTTTTTTTGGAATACCAGTGACAGATGGGTTTGTGCAGTCAGAGTGGCAAGAACAATGATCGTGCCTCCTTGCTCTGCGCACGTGACTCTTTATCGTAAAGCCCCTTCCACTCATGGATAGCAAGGAGCAAGCAACATATGGAACACCTGTAGAATAAACCTCTTCATGGGCTGGCATACACGTGAAGGAATGATGGCCACAGAGTTACAATAATCAGGTGACTAATTATTTGGTAAGCAAACGCTGAATCAGCTTCCAGTTAAGGCTCCTTGACTCTTTGCTACACATTGCAGCAGCATCTAAAGGTGAAAAATGCCCCTGATGGGGCCTTTCAGTAGCGCTAAACATGGATCTAAGCCTGAGCTATAAATCCTAATTTGCAAGAATTTCTAAATTACTGCACTAACCGCTGCCCCTTGTGGAAGAGGCGGAATAATTATTAGCGCTACTTTCTAGACCTAAATCACTCTAACCCTGACATAATTGTGTCTTCTACCCCATTTTTCTCTCCACTTTGTGGAAACACCCTCCCCAATGAACATCTCATCACTGTGTTAACAAAATGGAGAAATTCATTTTAGGATGTTGACAAATACATACAGCAACCCCGAATGATAGACTGTTCTTTCAGTGTACGGTTGAGCCGGGCTGGTGCTGAATGCTGAGCAGATAGGAGTTTACAAGGATTCCTCTCTTTTGTCAGTGTCACACTAACAAAAAATTCCATAAAAGTTCACTTTTCTATTTAAAATGCCTGTTCCAGTCTAAGGATATGTCTCAAATTATGAATACTAAGTATCCAGTCTGCTCTTTCATGCATAACTGATGAAGGTGCCAGGGAACAAATTGATCTTTCAGTTTTGATGTGACCTTTTTTAAGTGCCTGCGTAGAAACTTAGGAATCCACTTTCCCTCCGCCATGCTAAGACTCGTCTTTTCCACTTCCTTTTTAGAGCCGTTTAGGATGCGTTGAGGAGCAGGGCTTTTTTTTTTTTTCCTTGTGGGTGAGCACTAGCAGCTGTTATCTACACATCACAAACAGCAAACCTGGTTCAATAGATTAATGTGTAGCTATTAATAGGAAAAAGCAAGTGTTCTGTCCAGGTGGGCAGTCTGAGATGCCACGTTGGTGGCTGTTCTGTAATGGCTGGCTGAACACATTTCATGCAGCTTTTCCCCAAGCTGTGTGGCTTGTACTGTAATTGCTGACTTCTGAAGTGACACTAGTGGGCTCCTCTCTGGGTTCCTGCCCTCCAGCTGACTCTCAAAGCTGGGATTTGAAAATCTTCAGGGTGGCCTTCATTTTCTGTCGTGTCCAGGATTGTGCAGACTGCTTCTGCATGTCCTCGCAACCCAAATAACCCTTGTGAGCCCTTGTGTCTGTTTTTCTGTGGATACCATTGCTGTAGTTGTTCTAGCTCCATAAAATGCAAACGAAGAGACAGAAACACAAGAGGAGCCATCATCACAAGCAAAATGCTGGCTTGCATCCATAGGTGCTTCTCAAGCAAATCCCAGGACGTCATTCTCCCCTTGTACTCGGCCGTGGCGAGGCCGCAGCTGGAGTACTGTGTCTAGTTCTGGGCTCCACAATTCAAAAAGGATGTGGAGAAGCTTGAGAGAGTCCAGAGAAGAGCCATGCGCATGATCAGAGGTCAGGAAAACAGACCTTACGGTGACAGGCTGAGAGCCATGGGGCTCTTTAGCCTGGAAAAGCACAGGCTCGGGGGTGATCTGGTGGCCACCTATCAATTTATCAGGGGTGCTGACCAGGATTTGGGGGAACATCTGTTCACCAGAGCACCCCAAGCGATGACAAGGTCAAACGATCACAAACTCCACCGTGACCTATTCAGGCTGGACATAAGAAAGAACTTTACTATCCGAACCCCCAAGGTCTGGAACAGACTGCCACCGGAGGTGGTTCAAGCACCTACTCTGAATGCCTTCAAGAGACATTTGGGTGTCTATCTTGCTGGGATTCTGTGACCCCAGCTGACTTCTTGCCCCTGGGGCAGCAGGCTGGACTCAGGTCTTCTGAGGTCCCTTCCAGCCCTAACGCCTGTGAAGCCTAAATGTCTGTCATGTCAAGTAATTCGCCCCCAAACGGAGGAGCGTGTGCCCCGCTCTTGGACAGGAACAGAAGGGGCCAGGAGGCGATGAGACTGGTTTTGCCTGCTCATTGGAGCCAGCATTTTATTCTGGCTCTGGCAGGGCAGCTCCTTGAACAGAAGGTATCATTTGGAAGAAGGAGAGCAGATACCTTTTCTTCTCTCCTCCCTCCCACCGCAGGCCAGGGAAGAATGGAGTGACCAACCTGCTAGAGCCAGCATGAGCTTGATGCCAGGCATACCCAGGAGACAACCCGTTTCATTTCTGTTCCTGGCAGCAATCGGGTAAGACCCTGGTTCTCTTTGGTTTTAAGACTGAAGAGAGACTGCTAAGGACATGGCAGTGAACTCCTCTCAAAGACCCAAAGCACAGAGAAACCTGTGTCTGTTCCCTAGAAACAGGCTGCTGCTTTAAAGGGGTGGCAATACCCTCCTTCCAGGCCCTTGGTGCCCTGGCCTTTGACCTGACACAACGGCATCAACCCAGCCCTGGTCTGGGACCTGCTTTTCCAAGTACAAGCCATCATCAACGCAGCACATGCCTAGATCAGATGTGCTCTCAGCTCCTGGGAGAGGATCGTTCCTAAATGGCCAGCTTACCCTAAGGTTTTTAGCAACAAGACCTATGCACAGCTAACGTGTGGTGATGGAGTCTGTTAAAGACTAGAGATAAGGGAGATGGGGGATAAATTCTTCCCCCTTGTTTTCTGCTGCTGTTCAGGAGGTAAATAATGGCTTTGGCCTAGATGCATGCTGCAGCCATGCTTGTGAAATGCTGGCTTTATCACCGGGCTGGCACCAAGTGCATATAGGGCTTATTGGCTCCATACATCCTAGAGATGGTAGCGAATGAGAATGGGGAAGTTTGGTGTAAGTGGATGTTCAATCTTTCCACAAAGCAACTGCTTGGGTAAAGAGACCTGCAGCGAGCACAAACTGCAAGCTAGGCAGCTAATTTCTTTAGCTGCTGGCACTGTTACTTGTCTGACTCGTTCTTAAAAAAAAGACTAAAAGCAACAAATAAAAAACCCCACCCTGTACTCTTCTAAAGCTCTGTGGTGGCTTGTACTTAGATCCTAAACTTATTATGCCTCCCTGTTTCCCCTCGCTGCGTTTAAATGAATCCCCAGGAGTAATGGTCAATCTCTTTATGTGACATGATACTGAGATCGGCTCTGAGATTGAAAACTGGTTGACTCAGTATTTTGCGCTCTCCTTCCAGCATATGTGACCTCCTTGTGTGTGGAGGAGAGCAAGAGAATTCAACCCAAAAAGCTGTGGTCCCCCCAGGGGAGGGGAGACTGCAAGGGCTACGTGCCAATCACCTTTATGTCTGTAGATTGGTGAGCAGCCCCTCTCCATTCTCCCTTCTCTTGTAGAAACCAGCTCTTGCCAAAGGGGCAGAGCCTGGACGATGAAGCAAGAGCAGATCATAGCTTTGCTATGTCAAAAATGTGATGCCAGATGGTCTGTGGTGAAAGCAGTGAATGGGGGAGTGGTCGCCCAGTGCCACCACAAACTCTGCGATCCTTTTGGAAAGCAGCCCTGCCTCTAAAATAAGGACAAGCCTTCTTCCCGTGTTTGTCTAGAGCATAAGGTCTTTAGAATGAGGCTTTTTACCAGGCGGTATCTAGTACAACAGGGTTCCCCCCTCCTAAATTTGGGGCCTGTGGGTATTAAGCACAGGGAGGTGAGATAGATGTCTTTGCCTTGCCTTGAGCAAGCTCCGGTCAGGGGAAGCACAAGGACACGGGGTGTTTTCCCTTGCTTCGCTGAGTGTGAGTAGGGGAGAGGGATGGCTGGGAGGCAGGGGATGGGCTCCTGGCACGGGCAGTCTTGGGTGGATGAAGAGGGTAGACTGGAGGAGAGGCAGTTGAGGCTGTGCTGGTGGTGGAGAGAAGACAGCTGTGTGCGAGGCAGGCCTGGTGGTGGAAGGAGGAGAGAAGTGTGCTCATAGGTGAGCATGGCAGGGCGGGAGAAGGACACAGGCTCTGCGTGGGATGCTGGGGTGAAGGAGCAGGCATGATTTCTGCGAGTGGGAGGAAGGTTTTGACTGATCTGTCACAGCGGTAGGGTCCATTTCAGAGAGGGGACACACCAGTCCCCTCTACCCCAGAATTGCATTTTTTTTGTCCCCTTTGCTGTCAGCACCATGGAGGCACCCAACGACTTGTGACTTTGCACCTTGAACTGACTGTTTGGTGATGCCCTTCTCTCTAGGAGGATGCATGGGCTCATGCTTTAGGCCTTAGCATCATGATTTCTAGGTTCTCCTCCCAGCCCTGCCATGCTGTAGGAAGCCACGCTTGCAGAACCCACAGTGCCTTAGTTTACCGGGCTGCATAATGGGAACATGGCCAGCTTCAGCAGGAAGCCGTGAGATGTGGAGCTAGGAGTCTGTCTGTCAAGTACTTTGCAATTCCTTCCTGGCAGATGCTGTCAAAGCGTATGAGATTTGTTTTGTTCAGGAGCGAAGCTTTTAGCGTAGCAGGTGTTTGAGGTTTCAGGCTCTCTCCTTTCCCCCTTCCGCCCCCTTCTTCCAGGAGCACTGAATGCTAGCAAGTGAATTTGTAAATTCATGGCAAGCCTGAGTGAGAGCTGCAGGCTGTCATTACCCAGATCATATTTTTTTTAAAACTACAAATAAAGAGAGTGACATTTCATCAGAGCACCTGAATGGTGTATTTGCTTTATAGCCAGCCCCGGAGTGCTTGGAGCCATGGGCTGCCGTTCAAGGTTTTTTACTCTGTGAAACAAGCTCAGGGGGAGGAGATGACCTTCCTCCTTAAAGAAAAGAAAACCCATGTTTTTTTGGCAAATGGTATGTGGAGGGAGGTGGGGCTTGAGTTAAGTGCTGATGTATTTGCTTTTACACTCAAGCTTTGCGTGACTGAGGTCTGCAAAGGGGAAGCCAAGTGCCAGACCTCAGTGGTGCTCTTCCCCTCTTGGAGCCAGTGGGAGCTGAACTGGAAAAAATGTTTTGCAAAGGCTTGGCTCATTGAAAGTTTCTTACCCGGACTTAGGCCAGAGACACGGAGAGTCCAAGAGAAGCGAAACATGGGTCAGTAAACACTGCTGAAGTGACATTTTTCAAGTGTGTGCCATCTTCTGCTTTTGCGCACCTTCTAAGGCATACGCTTCAGCACTTAATGGCATGAGACTGTGTCCCACAGGCAGGGGGCATAGAAACAAGCCAGCAGCAGCAATCGGCCGTGTCAGTGTTTCCGTTGGCAGGTAACTGGGGAGCTGCATATGTTGCGGAGGTGCAGTCCAGGACTGCTTCTCTCCCTGGCCTTCGGGTGTGGGGAGCCTGTGCAGAGATGCATCAGCTCTTAATCCTCAATGTCAAACCTGGACGGCTTCAGCTACCGAGCTGGGAAAGTTTTGCTTTTCCCTGCTGCCAAAATATTTGCCGTATTTGTTTTCCCCCAATGCATTCCCTTCCCCTGCCAAAAAAAATCTGCAGGAAAAAGGTCTTGTTCAAATCTAAACTTTTCTTTCCATTCCTGAAAACTCAAGAGTTTTATTTACCAAAAATATGTAGGGGAAAAGCTTTTTAATGGCATGGTTTTCATTCCCTTGCAAAATATTTCCCAGCTCTGCCGCAGCTACTGTGCCTTTAAACTCTTGCGCGATTCTCCTCGTTTTCCCCGTGTAACTTAGCTGCAATTCGATCAACATCTATGCACAGAAGCACCTGCTCCGTGTTAGGTATCTTCCAAACAAAAGACTTTGAGAAGGAGTCTCCCTCCAAAGCCCTGTCAGTCTTGAGATAAACAGATTAGTGGGCTAAGATGAGAGCTGCCAGCTCATGCAGGTTGCTTTGATTGACTCTCGGCAGCGGGAGGGGGGAAGGAAGGTCTTGTACATGGGCAGGGAATTCTCTTCTCTCTGGGCCTTTGAAAGTGTTCCCATCACTGTAGGCTGGCAGTGGTTTCCAAGAGAGGGTTAAGCAGTTTGATTAACATCAGCCTTTCTTTCCCTTGCCGGAAGGTGAATTACATGATCACTAGATGGTCTTTTGTTGTTGTGTCAGCAGGGTTTTGGGGAGAGGTGGGTATTAGTGGGAGGGTGACGCCTTCCTATTAGAGGGTGTTTTGTATTTCCCAGGTTTCTAGGCACTGCTGCATGGGGCTGGGAGGGAATTGTTTCCCTCTCCTGTTGCTACATGTGTCAGGGTTTGATCTTTTTTTTTTTCTGCCTTCAGAAGCGGTTGAATGTTGGCTGCAGCTAAAACTGGGGACTGCGATTATGATTGGGATTAGGGTAGGACTGAAACCAGGCGGGTTCTTGGATAGGGGGTCTTGCCCCTCCACTCAGGGTCAGACCAAACGCCATGCTTGGGATCAGGAAGAAATGTTACCCTGTGGTCAGAGGTTTTTGCCATCCTCTTATGGGAGGGGAATGACCCTCTTCCTTGGATCTCTCCAGTGTATTTAATCAGCCCTCACAGCAGCAGGACACTGACTGTAGTGGGCTGGGGTGCTGTGCGTGTGGCTGTGTGGTAGGGTTGATATGTGCAGTTTTAATAAGAGGCTGGACATAGATTTGTCTGCAGTGGTTCGGATAGGGATGGTTCTACCTCCGGAGTCCCTTCCAGCCCGACTTTCCTGCGATTTTTTTTTTTTTTTGTATACTCTGAGTATATTTTTTAGAGAAGGCAACTTTATATTTGCGGTGGAAAATGAGAATAGCGGCATTCTCACTGAGGCCATACATGGAGGAGCAATGTGGAGAAGGTGTAGATATGATGAAGGACAAAGCTAGGCATTTAGGTTGCAGTCTTGTAAATGAAGAGAACTGGACCCTTGATTCTTATGGCAAATCTGCCATGTGTTTGAAAACCCTTTTAGCAGGATGCTGGCATCTGCCTTCTTTCCATTTAGGAGAAGCGAGTGGGTGATGCTTGTGGAAGAAGGAGCCTTAATACTGCATTACTTGATTTATTTATCACCTCTGCTCTAATGCCTGAGGGAAGGATAAAGGGAAATAACATTGTGCTTTTTTCTTTCCTGATGCAAAACACAAGCAAGTCCAGCTGGTGATTGGATTGAAGATGAAATACTGGCCTTGCAGAAGAAAAAGGTGTCACACTATTAGAAACTGCAGTAAAAGGAAATGTTTTTTGGAGGTAGGATCAAAAATGGAGATGCTGGCTGCGTCCAGCCGAGCACAGCCATGAGGTATGTGGCACTGCAGACCTGTCTGCAGCACTGCACGCTGCCCATTCAGGCATTCTTGCAGTGCGGTGGGGGGGAGGGTTGACCTCAGGAGATCCTGGGGTCAAAAAAACCCACGCAGAAAAAAGCAGGGTATTGCACATGGTGGCAATGCATGCCACCCAAAACCAGAGCCTGGCTGGCTGCCGACCAAGCTCCCAGCTTCAGGAGCACCACAGCTGCAGCTTACCCAGCCCCCAGGAGCCCAAGACAGGCTGCTGGGGCCAGTGCCGTTGCTGGCCCCGGCCTCTCCTACCCCACCTGGTGTAACCTGCCACGTGCCAGAGTGCGTGTGGCACAGGCGTTCCCCAGGGAAACAAACATCCATGCTCATGCGGCCACTGGGTGCATCTACATGTGCACTTTACTGCGGAGTAGACTAATCAGCTCTGCAGTAAAGTGTCACCATCTACATATGCACCACTATTAGGCTGCACTACACTAATGAACTCAGCCATAAGATAATACTGTCAGGGACAAGCACTGTCTTATGGCGGAGTAAGTAACTATGCTGAAACGCACATGTAGACGATGACGGGCTGGCTGGGGCACGAGGGGGCTAAAGTGTGGGGGCTGCTTGCTGTCTAGTCATGGCTCCACACTTGCAGCCCCCTCATGCCCCAGCCAGCCCCTTCACCACCTGATGCCACCACCCGAAGGCTGGGGCTGACACGCACAATCCCCCTGACAGCCCCAGGCTGTTCCACCACAGCTCAAATTGCTGCTGTCCCAGGTGCATGTGTAGATGCTGTGCCTGGGAGCAGCTTCCTCTGCTTTAAATGACTGTGGAGTTTATTGTGTTGTATTAATTGCACATGTAGATGCACCCACAGGCTCCAAAAAGCTGGAGCTAGAAGGTAACAAACAGCAGTACGGGAATGAGTCATGAAGAAGATGATTGCCTAATGAAATGAACACACTGGTAGGAAGATTAATCACTTAAGCCCCTTTTGATGCCTCGGGGGTTTTCAGGGAAAGCCGAGTCATTTCAGAGGAAACTCCTCTAGAGCTGGGAGGATGCAATGTTTTTCAATTTTCCTGTGAAATCAACAGCTAGAGTGGTATCTTTTAGAAATAATACACTGGCCTCTCTCTTCTCTCCCTGAATGTCATGGGAAGTGTTTGGGCCAGCACCGAGTGCTTTGGAAATTCCCAGCCCTGGAACGTTGGTCGTCTTGTTCAAATATCCTCTCTTAATTTCCTTCTCTCCTCCTTTCTTTTCTGCCTCCTGAACATCACATGCTGGATCACTGGAGGAAGGGACACGGGGCGTCTGTCTCATTGAGGACTAGACGAACTTACTGCCCCCACTCGGAGAGTGCTTGGTCGGCGTTGCCTGCCTTTCTGAGGCAGCTGCTTGAGAGGATGCCGTGAACCCGTACAGCATAAAAAAGCACAACTGACCGAAAACTACAGCAAGCTGAAATTGTGACCACTGGGGAAAGACACGGCAAGCTTTTAAGTAATGAGTTAAACCGAAACGCTTCTGCAGCCCCATCTGTGAGATGGAAGCAGGGACTCGCAGTCTACTGGTGCTCTCATTCCTCACTCACCGCTTAACTTAGCATCTCTTGGAAAATTCATCAAGACTCATAGGGGCAGGAGCCAGCGGCTGGATGGCCCAGTATGTGTTTTATTCTCAGGCAAAAGAGAGAGGCCTCCCCCCTCCCCGCCTTTAAAAGTAAGATTCACTGTAATTACACTTACGCAATTTCCATGCAATCTTTGGGGCTATTTCTCTTTCCATGGTGAAGGAACAAATTAACAGGAAGGATCCAGGCTCTGAAATGTCAAGCAGTTGAAGTGCTGGTTCAACAAATGCTTGTTGACTCGTGATTTCTCACTTATCCGGCTGATATCCATGGTCTGCAAAAGGTGGAAGGGAAAGGATGATTAAGGACTTGATTCAAACCCCGGAGAACTCTATGGCAAGCTCCTATTGACTTCAGTAAGCTTGGCTTGGGCGCTGTCCAGCAGGCATATGGCCTATGTGTGTGCGTATAAGCACATAATGGCTGCAGCTTTGCTATTCTGGGCAGCTAGACCGTGGATTCAATGCAGAAGCAGGCTTCCTGGTCAAGCATTTCTAACAAGGCACCTACCCAAAAGCCTGAATACAATCCATCTCCATATGCAAACAGCCGTGCACCTTTGAGCTAATCCCCTCTTTTGTCAGAGAAGGCCCAGATCCCTGAAGGCAAAAAGATGCCTATTTTTAGTGAGTGCTCTGTGTGCCAAGGCTGTGTGTGTGTTTGCGCACAGATTCAGTTATGTACCTGCCAGCAGGTGCAGCACTCCCAGTGAGGGGCCTCACTGATAGAGATGAGCCAGCTTTGCTGCTGTGTTGCAGGACCGTGACGCACCTTTCCCCCGTGTCTTTAATAATAACTAAGGAAGAACCAGCTTGTGCTGATTGAGGGCCCAGGGTTTAGAGCAGCATTTTCCCAACCCTCCTGATGTTGTTTCCATTTCCCCAAAAGGACCCCCAGTCAAATACGTGCACACACGTATGCACGTGTGCACAGGCTCATGTGCAGACCTGTCTGATAGTATTAAAGGCCTAAATTAACTTAAATGCAAATCTATCCATGGGGTTTTAGTTGTAGTCTTGTTGGTCTAAGGACATAGGCAGGCCAGGTTCTTTGGGGGGATGTAATATCTTTTATTAGACCAACGGAGTAGTTGGATAAAAGTTCTTTGCAAGCTTTTGGGTGCAATCACCCTTCTTCAGGCATAGGGAGCCTCTGCTCTTCCGGGATCTCCAAGGAATCAGAGAAGGTAAAAGTGAGGAGGTCAGTGAGAATGTAAATTGGTGGAAATTAGGAAAACAAAGGGTAGAGAAGGGATTGTTTTCTTAATTTACCCATTTTTTTCCCTAATTTCCACCTAGACAACACTTCTACCCAAAGAACCTTGCCTGCCTAAATAAATTGATCACTCACTCAGTGTGTTTTTCTGTCTTGCTATTATATGATGCTTTCTCTCCTTTTTTACACACTAGGATTCGCAGGGAAG